AAGAATAGCCTGATCTGACATACAAAGCAACACCGCCACCTGTCGAAAAGGTGCGATTTTCATTGAGTAAAATGTAACCTGGGATTTGAAAACAGGTACAATCAGTTTCAGAGGTGAACTAAGTCTCGGAGCAACCGATAAAATCAAACTTACATGAAATTGAATCCAGAAGATTGCACATTTGTTTGAAGTGATTTTTTAAGCTTCTAGTATTTAAGTGAATAACAGTGTATTGAGGTTTAATAGTACGAAACAACTCATTAATTTCTTCAGTTGTGTAAATCCCATGATCATTTAGCAATAATAAATTTAAATCAGGGTCAGAGGACTCTTGGGTCATTTGCAGAAAATTTTAGCTTGACAAAATTTAATTAAACAATTTAAGAGAAATGTTAATTATAAAGCTATGTAGACTATGGGACTTACACATGAACAAAGAATATATACTGTTCAAACGTCTCAAGCCTGATGTAGCTCACCGTCGATATAGAGCTTGCCATGATGAAATCTAGGTCTTTTCCCAGCTTCAAATGCTTCTTTCATAACAGATCTTAATTGTTTCTTCTTTTGACGGTCTTCCCATATCAAATCATCCGAGACGCGCACGCCATTACGTAGATCCCTCTTTTTGATAACTCTAAACCATTCCAGACGGCACAAAAACTTAGCCAAAATTGGTCTGGGAGTGCCATCATCCTCGAAGGGCCCGATCCTGTGGGCGTTCTCGATGTTTGCTTGCAATTGGAGATCATTTCCTATGATATCACAGAGCTTTGCAATACAATCCTCGCCTGTTGATTCTGGGATGTTGTAAAATCTCAGATTGTAGTCCCTAGAATATCTCTCCATGGACAGCAATCTCTCGTAGGTGTCATCGATCTCTTTTGCATTCTTGGTGATATCGTTCTCGATTTGGTCGATTCTTGTGTTAGCTTCATCGATTTGGTCGATTCTTGTGTTAGCTTTGCATACTAAGTTCTTTTTGCTCGCTTTGTTTCTTGGAAAAAGAGAGAGAAAACCGTCTGAGGAAAGCTGAAAGCTGTTCACGACGCTTAATTATATTCTCACGATAAACATACCAGTCTTCTAGGGTGACCTTAGAATAGGAGAGTTCACTCAAATGTCTAAGTGTCTCAGTTTTCACCCAGTCTGTTGACATCAGGTCAGGGCCTGGGTTCTTGTCAGTTGGAAGAACTCTGACCGCTTGGTTGCTTTTAAGTTCTTTGAGCTCAGCTCTGTCCTGTCTTGAAAGATTGTCCTTCCAGTGCGGTTGGTTTTCTGCAATGTTCCTTTGCAGTGCTTTATGCAAATGAAAGAGTTTGTCTTCGAGTTCTGGGTCTTCACGGGGCAGATTCCAGCCAGTGGGAATGTACAATCGTGGATTGAAATTTGGATCCTGTGGCTGATCTGCGAATAACACATGAAGGCAAACTCTGCGACGAAAGTCTTTGATCTCCAAATCAAACTCAGCTGCAGTAGGGGATTTGAGCGAGGGCCTGAACTTAGGCCCCATACCCAAAACCCTGGACTGCTGCTCAGAAAGATCAATGTTAGTGAAGTTGTGGATTTCCGAGTTTCGAGGAAGCCAGTCGTACAAGGGTTGTTTCGCCATTTTGAAGAGCCGCTTTTCATGGACGGATCGACAGTCTATTTCACGGAGCCGGAACCTTTGCCATTGACGTTTTTTGCCGACGACTGGGATGACTTGGGCGACTTGGATCTTCCCCACTGCTGTTTTTGCCCTTTTGGTCGGTTCTGCGGTGATTTTGACGCAATTAGCCGACGCGACGTTTGCCTCTGTTGCTTCAACTGACTTGGCCTACCAGGGTTGTCCCAGAATGAGACCTTTCTGTGACGAGTGCCACCAGCTGGTTCCTCTTTTGCCAGATGGATTTCCTGGCGGATAATATCCTGAATCAATTGCTCATCTGGGATGAAAGGCTTGTTCATCTCTTCTTCTCGCCCTTTGTTGTCTTTACGGGTGATCTCCACTTGTAGAGACTTGGAGGCTCGGGCGACGGCACTGTCCGAAGACAGTTTAGCCACGAACGTTACTGCTGCTCCGACGAGAATTTCCACTTGGCTGGAGGTGATTTCTTTTTCTTTAGAGAGATGGGTTTTCCACTGAGCGATGGTACCATCTATGTCCTTTTCTCACTCTTGAATTGCCTCTTGGTGGACTTTCACATTGGCACGGAGACTATCGGCGAGAGCATCCAGAAGTTTAAATTGTGCTTCGCTGATAATTTCATCAAACTTTACTTGAAGAGTTTCAGCATCTGGGCCCTTGGCTTTGACGCGATGAATCCGAAGGCCTGAAGGGATCATGCCGTCGGCTAAATGTTTTTGAAGAAGCTTGATCTTTGCCAAAAGACTCAAATGGGATTTCTCGATGTCCTGGCGCTCGCGAACTTTCTTCCTCAGGATAGCTTCGATCATAGAATCAAGCTTGGATGGACTGCCGGTTGATAGTGGAGTGTGGTCTCCGTTGCTTGATCGGCGACACTTTGAACCAGCGCTGCTACCTTCAGTGTTGTTCACCATGTGGCTTCTTCTGGTACCAATACAGAAATCTTTTAAAGTAAAACCAGTGAGCAGCACGTCTGTGAACTACTTGAGTTGTAAAACTTTTTTATTTTCTCCTACGCGTTTCGTGTGACTAGCGCACACTTCTTCAGGGAGTTTAACAATACAATCAAGTATACCTGTATATATACCTAGATACAATTCTGCATTTCACAAAAAATGACACGTATGGATTTGCGTATACAAACCGCTCGGTAATGCGTCTAGGAAACAGATGTGAAAATATTATTAAGGTGTGACACATTTTAAGTGTGACATAACTATTTGGGCCCACAGTTTTAGCTAAAACTGTGGGTGACGCAAAAACTGGGGATGGTAAATAGCAACATGAAGATGGAATAGGGACAAAACTATGAATAACGACTTAACAACCAACTGTATGATGCTCAGACAAACACCTCAGATGTTGAAGAAATTAGGGATCAAAAAAGGAGATGCAATGAATTACCTGGCATTCATCTTCAGAATCGTCCATGTTTGTGTTGAAAAACAGAGTGCTGAAAAGCGACATGCAATTGGTGGGAAAGAAGAGGAGCCTGCACTCATTGTGGTCAGTTGAATGAATACCCAATGCTCCCTACCCCTCTGCTACCGACTCCCCTATCCCTAATAATATCTTTTCATATTTCAAGCTGAGACCAGTTTATTTTTGTTTATTTTTTGTTTTCCATTGTGAATGGTTTTCAGCTGAAAATCCTGTGGTTAAATGACGTCTTCTAGACTCTTCTGGTTGTTTTTCACAAACCAAACCTAATTTGTGCTCTTATCATGCATGACAGTTATACGCTGTTTTCATCACACCGAAAGGATTAGTTCTTTAGCGAATTACTTTTTTTAAGTTGAAAGATACATTGCATTGCCTCCAGGTAAAATATAAACAATAGCATAAACCAGAACTTCCCTCTCACATGACTTGAGTATTCTTTGGCTTTCATGTAAATGTTGTTTAACCCAACAGCTGCTCTGTTTTCCATTAAAGAGACCATAATCTAAGCTACATTAACCAATTCTGATCAAAGCAAATCCTTCAGCTAGCTCACCTTTTCGTTACACTATTCCCCATTGCTTCCTGCTATCTCAACTGGCTTCAAATATAAATGTTGTGTAACCCAACTACTGCTCTGTTTCTACTTAAGACACCATAATCCAAGCTACATTAACCAATTCTGATCAAGAAAAAAACCTCAGCTAGCTCACCTTTTCGTTACGTACACTATTCTCCATTGCTTTCTGCTATCTCAACTGTTTTCACAGCGAACTTCAATGCTTTTCTTCAATTCAAGTTCAAATTCACAAATATTTCCGCCCACAGATATGTTTAGTTCAGCCCTAAACAAAGCTCACCAATACGTAAATTTAATGTAGAGCCTTGACCTATCTCGTCTCCCTCACACATAAGTTCAGTTGAGATATTTCAGTGCTCATACAATCCTCACACAGTGCTTATTTACTATTTCCCAGACTGTATTTCCCTTCCACAGGGTGGTGAATCGTGCACGAGATAAGCGCAGCGCAACAAAAGTTGTACGCTGCCCATCCAAAAGAATGCGATGTGTGCCAACATATAAGCTCTGACTATGTCATCGCTTAATAAAATAACTAGACGCTCTAAGAGCGTTTACTCAAGCTTTGTACTGCGATATCAAATCGTACAAGCAAAAACAAGTAACTTTATTGAACACAATAACAGCAAATAAAAGAATCTGGATATATTACTACTGAAGTTGCTTCGTTGCATATCCTCTTTGTCAGTTGCATCATGTCAGTTGCCTCATCTTCGAAGTTCTGTTTACGATGATTTTTTATTTTTTCAACATCTAAGGTGTTTGTCTCAGTATCACTGTTTTTGAGCCAGTACTCATAGGTTTGTGCCAGGGTCTTCGAATTTTGAACTCGTACATAGCTCATTTGTTATCTCGCAAGAACAAATGTGAAATTTGCTTATTTGCCAGGCTTTCAAGCAATAGAATTTGTGGACCATCCTGTTCCGAAAATGTTTGTATGTGAGATAAACATATAACGTGTGACTTCGATACCAAACAAAGCATTTTGCATGTTACATTTTTCACGAAGTGCAAATAAAGCAAGCTGTCACATTCTCGTCCCCAGTTTCCACTCACTATGCATGGAATGCCTGAGACCATGACCCCCCTTTTGGCAACGAACCGCTAGCATTTTATGACTTGGGATTCCGAGTAATTATTCTATCCACCCTCAGATGTACTACTGGTTACAGCCCAGAAGAATCGAAGGAGTAATATTATTGGGTAAATACTAACACATGGAATGTTTTAGAGTCAATTATAAGACTTTAAGAACACAAACTTAAGTTTCAACAGTGGTCTTCAACGCTCCTTATTTCTTATTTTAAAGCCTGACAAGGTTACCTTTACATTACCCTCAATTTTTAATGGGCCCATGACTTATTTTGCGGGGGTATTAGCTTTGCAAATATAAGACAACATTACCGGTGTGCATTTATCGAATTTCTCTTGCAACGCAAGCGAAAATTTCTTAACAATTGTCATTAAAATTCCTCAAAATGATAAAAATAGTATTGTGAATGTGGTTGTAGATATTGTCGACTACAGGTTGAGCTTCTCCTTTACTGGTGGCAAATTGAACATTTTTTTCATGCGTTTGTTCGATTTTTTTCATTTCAGAACACTTTGCACTGAATCCTTTTTGCAAAAGATCTACCTTAGTGTTTCAGTCTCACTTTTAGCTATCTAAATATACGATTTCAGCCATAAAACGTGGTGAATTTATCTTGATAGCAATGGACAATAATTGTTGCTTGAGAAAGGCTCCCACTAAAGTCATGGAGATTACCAGAAAGACTCTCAAGATGAAAAGTGCCACATACAGAAGAGTGGATCGATAGCAATCAATCAAAATTGCTGCACGAGAAAGGTCTTCATTACAGTGGAATCATGATTTGCTATTGGTTTCTTGCTAGATTTTGTAAACATTTAAGCCTGCTTCTATAACGCCGATCTAAGCTGTTCACATATCTATCTTCTCATTGTAATGAAGTGTTGCCGTATGTTCAGTTTGTAATGGCGAAGAGTGGTGAGTCTACTAGTCAGTATAAAAATATGAACTGCGGAGTGGAAATAAAACACGGAGTGTTTGTAAACCCTGAAGTTCTGAGGCTGTGTACAGACTGAAATTTTTAATTATATTAGCCGATTTTATTATTATTGCATCTGTTCTTCACTGTAATCCTTCTCTATCTCATGCTTGTCCTCTTTTGCTCCTGCCGCAGCTGCCACAGTTATCGTAGCAGCGCTTTCATTGTCTGCGAGGCAGACAACATTTCTTTTTGCTGCTATCCCTGCTGAAATTCCACCTCCTAAAATGATCATAATAATAATTTTAGGATGTCACTAATGTTGTAGAAAGCAACTAAGTAGAACCGCAAGTGACAGCAAATCTTGAAGAGTTCACGTTTATTCAGTTGCTAAAAATCAGTCATAGATTTTCTTTAATTAAGTACATTTAATCACTGAAAAATGACTTTCCGTGAAAGGAAGTTGCTTAGCAAACATCCTTACGTACAGGGCTGCGTTTCTCGAAAGTCCCGATAATTACTGGTTCCATTAAACCGTTTTTGTTTAGTTCAAGATATGGGTTTCAAAAGTTTTGAAAATTTTAAAGTTAAACTCAGCTGAAGAAATGGATTACAAACCGCTCTACTCTTCCTTACATTTTGATGTTAAAATATTGCTATGGGCCCGTTAAGTTACTAGGATTTTCAAGAAACAGGCTCTAGCATGGCCAGTAATAAGATGCACACTGATGGTGATAAGCATCATGAATTTCCCCTTGCTTTTCTTTTAAATTTTAGCATCATTTGTATGCATAAATACAGGCAAAAAAGGTCACAAAGTGTTCCCCGAAGTCTCCTTCCCAAGGAATTGTAAACAGTTCTTGTACACTAACCTAAAAATAACCTAAATAAATAGTTAAAAGCTGCTGTACATGCTTAGACTTAACGGCACACTTAGTGATGAAAATCGATCCTAAATCAAGTAATTCAAAACCCTAGACATTTAAGTGCACCACCACCACAGTGTGACTTACCGATTGCGTTAGTTAGGTTTAGAACCCATTGGCCTTCAAAGCTGAACTTCTCTATTATTGTGGCTACCAGCTCCACAGGAATTCTTCCCTTATCAACACCTATGCAGGAAAAAACGTTTGATGCATTTGCATTCTGTAATTGGCAGCATCCTCCCGTGACTTGTCCCTCTGCGACCCAATGGCCAATGAGGAGTAGCATAAGGCTGTTCTGGAGGAGGTGCCCTGTTAAACAATGTTTCCAAGTCAGCTGTTAGATAATTTTTAAATCTCTATCCATGAGACACTTGTGACCCTTTTGTTGAAAAGGAAGGAAGAAAAAATCAGTAGCAGATGGCTCTAAAAATCGCTACAAGTGGTAATAATGCTTTCTTATTACGGAGTGGTCAAGCAACAAATATATTTATATTTAGGAAATAGGGTATTTTGAACATGCACTTAACGGCATCTTTTGTAGAGGTTTTAATTTCTGATTTTTTTCTTTCTATGGGGGAAGGGTAAGCTCCCGTTTTCGAGAGAGAGACATAAAACAGCTATTTTATTTGTAATTTGCAAACTGAAATTACCTTGTGCTTTCTTTTCTCTTGTGTCAAACCAGAATGCCCTTTGTACATAATGTAGCTTCCCTTCCATAACCTCCTGCACATTAAACTCTGTACATTCTTCATTGTAAATTACTGCAACGTTGTAATTTTGAAGTTCTTCTACATTACTGGCATGGACAGCCATCAGGAACTTCTTGAATTTTGTTTCTTGAGTATTCTGTTTGCAACAAAAAATATCATAGATTTTCGTCAACGCCACATGTAAACTAAAGTTTTAAATTTATGATTTTGTATTCTAAATAATTTTTTTTCATCTAAAGTTACTCTAACTTCAACCAGTAATGTTTGAGTTCAGTAGAGGAAGAAGTTAACATTTCATATTAAAATGAACGAGTATGATTTCATGTTAAAGTATTTTTATTAAATAAAGCAACAGCACATCCCAACTTGTGTCATAGTTTTGTGAGACAAAAGGGTCTATTGATTGATACTTGAAGTTTACCAGTGCCACCGCTATTCGAAGAATGCTTACCAGAAGAAAAGCGCTCATTCAGATAATACTGAATATACAGTGTTCCCCCACTCCCGCCAAGTTCAGAGCTGAAGCTGAAAGGACAACGATATGATATTTATTAACTTACCTTGTCCAAGTGAATTATCATAAGAGTTGGTTTCACGCGGGATTGTCACCACTAACTAAATAAAAACATTTTTCAGTTGAAATTTCCTAGCATATCTACAACCCGATGCAAGTTCATTTCTGCTGTTGAGAGTTGACATTTCTGGCCTGCACAATATGAAAAACTTCTCCCACAAACACAAATTACATCTCTTAGCTACATTCAAATAGGACCTAGCTTGTTTTACTTTCTGCCATTTAATGTCATACGCAATTTTCTGATCTTTTAAGCTTTATTGTACCGTTCATTACGAAATGAACATATATGGTACCTGTATCTTAATTTAAAAGTAGTGTCACAAAGTCCGATGTATGTTTCCTTCGTGGTTTCAGTGGTGAATTCATTTTCTGCATTACAGTTTCCATCCATAGGGCACAAGTTGTGTTTCCGGCAATTACAGTTCTTCTTTTGATCATCGGTGCGTGTGGATTTGTTAATTTCAGTTTTGTTATGATTAGATGTTACTGTTTTGATGTTACCCATGCAGCTGTAGCTTAATTTTAGTGTGTTACAGTTAAAAATATTATGGAGGGGGTTAGATTTAGGGAAATGTTCATCGATAAGTAAAAGAAAGCATTTTCCGATGTTTGTTGCCACACTCTTGCCAAATGGCGGGTTAAACCACAAGATATTTTTTTGTCTACTATTCCGCTGGCAGGATGCCTGGCTCAGTGTGAAAGAGAGATTATAGCAGTAGCCACTTTTGTCAAGTGCTTCCTGGTAAATGCCTTTAGTGCTATTGAAGCATTCTTTATCCGATGATATTTCAGAGAGCCTTTTGTTAATAGATTCAGGAATGTTCTTGAGGATGGATGGTGGGTGGTTGGATTCTTTATGGACATATAATAGGATGTTGCCCTCTTATGTGAGGGCAGAATTTCTCACTTCTGAGGTCAAGCGTGATATCTAAGAAATTGAGCTTGGTGGTGTTTGCTTTGACTGTGATCTTCAACTCGTTGTCACGGAAGACTTTGCATATCTCTTTTTTGATCTTTTCTATTTCTTGTGGCTTCGCGTTGAAGGCTGCCAATCGGTCGTCTCAGTATAAGCTGATGTTTTGGCCATACTTCTTGGTGAGGAGAGACAAAAGGTAGCATCCAATGAATTCACGTTTCAGCTCCATCAAATGATCCCATGGTGACGTTTGATTGCTGATTTTTTCTCCCATGGGCAATTGTCGCTAAACAACAGTGATCACTTAGCATGCAGGATGATCAATCAATCATCAATCAATCCTTTATTTGTTAGAACAGGTTTATAATTACAGGATTGAATGAGCAATATTAAATCAGCAGCCAAAAGGCTGATGTGGACCTGCTTATAATAGTAAAATAACTAAGATAAAAATAAAACAATAATTAGAATTAAAATACCTTATTAACTTAATAATNTCCAAATAGTTGGTCCCCTGTATTGTAAGGAACCTCTTCCTAATTCTGTTTTCACCCCAATAATATTAAATTGGTTACTGAGTCTTGTAGACCTTGTTGATTTAGAAACTCTGATTTCGCTGGCTGGTTATTTGGCAGTACTTAGAGGTAAAGTCGAATGCTTTAGAAAGCAACTTCTCGGTTATTGAGGAATAGAACTCACAAACATCAAAACATATGAACGAGAGCGAGTTCTTGTTTTTTAAGCCTAGCAGACATATCATATATATAAAGTCAATTTTTCTGTACTACAGTGCTCGGTACAATAAAGCAGAGCTCAATATATATTGAAAATAGAAAAAACTACACTTTCATCCTGTTTCGTGATCGCTCACTCTTCAGGGGATTTTAATGATGAATATTCATAACTATCGGTTAAATACTATTAAAGGTTACATAATAACTGTTGCGGAAAATTTAATTGTTTAAACGTTTAGTTGTTACATAGTAACACTTTGTTTCTGTGGTGGCAAGAAGATACAAGTTTGTTACGTGATGACAGATCAGGTTGACAGATGATTAAAAGTTTCTCTTTGAGACAGAGATTACATCTTTTACTTGAGCTGTTGTAATGGCTAAGAGTTGTATGTTGACATCAAGGTTTTGTAATTGGGAAAGCAGGAAACTTCCTACTATCTCACTTGTCTCAGCGCTGTCATAGCTACCATAGTAATGCCATGTTTGTTGTTTGTGTATTAGGATTAAATTTTTAGCATGTATGATGATGTTTTGTTCGTCATCTGTGACGTCGTAGGCCGAGGCAAAGTCAAGTGCTCTGTTCAGAAGGTCTTGGCTGATGGAGGAATAGAATTCTACGAAGTCAAAGCAAATAAAGATCAGTAGCACACTACATATGAACAATAGCGTAACATGCAAGAAAAATACAAAATATTTATAAATGAATCAAAAACATCTTGAAACTCTATTTAGAGAAAATATTACAGTTCTTTCACTTACTGCTTTATTTTGGGACATTTCGGTTAATTTCCAGCAATTTCTCTATTACCCATGATGCATTATGGCCCCACCCATTTTCATATGCTTGATCTCTTTCAATGTATTTTCATTAAAGTCATCTTTTACTAAATAAAACACATCTAAGTACACAGGTAGATTCATTCTGGATGGGTAATAACCTCATATTAGTCAATTTTTAACATTTAAATTAAATGAAGTTCTACATCTTTCAACAATCGAAATTTAACATAATGCACAACATATTCCATAGTTTGTTTGACTTTTAGTGCAGGTGTAATAAAAAAAGTTTCCGCTTCGAACAGATTGTAATATTTTTAAAAATATCATTCAGCTAAGGCCACAAGAGACATACAGTCCCTACCTGCAAAGGCAGGATTTACTTTTTCTTTTAGTCCACAAAATTGTGGCAAAACCCCTCTACAATGAGGCAATGATATCTTCATGAATGTCCATTGGAACCTGGTAAATCTCATTACGTCCTCTTCCTTTCTTTTTAAGGTCTGAGCAGACATAACGAACTGTACCGGGATAAAGAATTGCAGTCTTCTTGATGTCAAGTTTGAAAGTCATATCAATTAAGTTGTGCCTTAGGAAAACATTGCCCTTCACAACTGTATTTCCTGCTTGAAAGAGAGAGCCATAGTCATCTGTTTCATCCCTGGTTAAAACAACAACACCATCAGTGGTAACCTTCAACAAGTAATAATCATAAGAGTCGCCTTTTGCAGCAATGGCAATGATGCTGTCCTTGCTCACAAGGTCAGCAACATGAAGGTGGACTGGCTGTGCCTTCGGTGTTTAATCAGCCTGCGAACGTGACTGCAGCGGATGCCTCCCTCTCTAACTTAACTTCTCTAAAGTCACCCACATATTCCTTGTTCTTACAGTCAGGATAGTTTTCGTAGAGACATTCACCGCAATAGCAAGAGCACTGCCTGACATGAACCTTTGGTTGCTGAGGAGAAGTGACCACAGAGTGCAACTTCCTGATGCCCTTGATGGTGTTGAAACAGCAGCCTTCTCAATGACGAGAAACAGCTTCCTCTCCTTCTGCTAAAACATAAATAAACAGCCTCCTCTTCAGGCTCACTACAGTGGAACGGAAAGGGAAGGAAGACAGTGCAGGCTTCGAGAAGTTTGCAGTTAGGTGGTAACAGAGCTGCTTGGCATTGGTGATGTCGGCTCTTCCACATATCACAGCAAGTGAGGCTTGTTGTTTCACATGAGAGCCTGCAGCATCTTGCTCACCTTTTGCATGTGATGTATCAAAGTAATTGCGCTGGATTGGAAAGCCAAAATCCGCAACACAGCAAGAAAGGTCCCCATTGCAGTGTCTTGACTTATACTGAGCTGCACAACCGTCAGTGAACTCGTGCATTTTCTCTACTGTTACCTTAAGATCTTCAGTTAGGCATTTTGCAATGAGTGACTGTGCATGATGTACTTAGTCATAATCCTGCACTGGGTCATCACTGATAATAAACACATGTTCCTTGATTACTACTGGTTCCTCTACAGTGCTCTCCTTCCCATCAGCTTCCATGGTGGCAAGGCAGAACATTACAGTGATGTGAAGGCTAGCTTTGTTGACATCATAATACTGGGATTGTATTTCATTTTGTCCCCTGCAGGCATAACTCTCTGAATAATCATGGATACAAACAACATGACCAAGGGGAAGATTTTCCAGTAGATCATCAAGCTGCTTTCTCTGCCAGATGGCCATGAACTGGTGATGGGGATAGGTGTCTAGCAAGTCAATTAAATACTGGAAAAGCTCTTTTGGCAAAATTTCCGTCTGCACAAGGGCAATATTCTTCTGCTGTTCCCTAGATGACATCACTTTTCCAGATGCCACATACTCAAAGCGCTTCCACTTAACTGACCCATTCTCCGAGCTTTCTTCTGGTAAAAGCCTGAAAAGATGTGTTCCACAATGTTTACATGTTCTGTTTATGCAACAGTACTTGTGAAACTCACTCCCTTCCTTCTTTGGACATAGTGTTAGCTCCACAGCTTCTGTGAGTGACGATGGTACTGGTGGAGTGTCAGCATGAGCAGCTTCTTATAACAAGTTCTTCCTAAACTTGACACATTCGTTGAAGACCAGCCTTGCTCCCTTGTGCCTCTGGCACAGACAGGACTGTCTGTCTCTCTCTGGCTCCTTTCACAAAATAAGGCTTTAAGAGCTCCCGCCTGAGAGCATTGAGAATCTTGCAACAGCGACTGTTTTGGCACATTGCTCATAATTCGCCTCAAGATACCCTTCGGTGAGCTGTTTTCAAAAATCATAATTTTAAGTTCCAGCGTTTTTTTTATTTTCGAAAAAAATTCGAAAGTTTGAAAATGAGGTCAAAGTGCATTTTCCTCCCAATGGAATGCCCCAAATAACACAGAAAGACGAAGCGTTCCTAAAGTCTTGAAATTTAATCAATAACTGTTAAATTTTACTCAGGCATAGAATAGCTATTTCTCTTTAAGTCTAATGTAATAAATATGTCAAATGCTTCAATATTCTTGATTTTCAAGCCATCCTAAAAACGCGTGCGACGACCCCTTAATGAGAGGCAAAATATTGGCTAATTTTGAATGGGTAAAACCCTTCCTGGTACGTTGTTTTATTGAAATTCAACTCCATAGCCTAAACGTGTTGTTCTGTAGCTGTTATCCCTCCAAATCTCAAGCTCGAACTCAATGCGCTTCTGTCCCTGCAAAACGAAGTTGTTTGTCATGTACGACACACAGATGACCAGATAATTTGAACACAAAATGGACGCTGAACTTCGCAGTTGAGGAAAAAAAAGTATAAGCTCTTGTATTTTCTGGCTTGACCTTACAATTAATTTATTCCAAAAGTTAGATAAATCATTTAGAAACCATTGAGAGTCCTGTGGGTAAAAAAAATTAAAACAATGATAAAATTTGAAAACCAGTTGTCAACAGATAATCTGTCGATTTCACATTGGTCTGAAGAGTACACAGACACTAGTCGCAAACGTTCCTGAACTGAGTTGTAACGAAAACAACAGCATTATATCTTTATTAGTGTATAATTTGTGATTTTATAAGACAATTTTCAGGAGCTCAACAGGTTAACTTTTGTGACTCTTGTAGTTTTATGCTCAATATTACAGCTAATATTAATTCCGCCGCTTGTCGCTAGCTCTTAATGTTCAAAAAACAACTCGGCTCATCATCGTGCGGAGCTTATATTCAAATCCAGAGTAAACGCAATACATACCAATGACACCGCATGCAGCCTCTGAAGCCATATTTTCCCATATTTTTTCAAGTCAAGTACCTTTACCATCAAGGATAACTGACATTTTATGACGGCGGTTTTGCTGTTGAAACGTGAGAGACCCAGAGTAATGCAACACTCCTTTGAGTCACACATGCTGAGATGGGCACTATATCTGTTGCCAATGTAAAATGTCGAGTTAGCAGACAGATGAGCTTAAGTAAGCAGTATTTTCAAGTACTGTAAAATTGAATACAACCCTGCTTATTTCCAGGTGTCACGGTTATCTTAGTATTTTACAAGCAAAGTACAACTTGTGGCCAAACTTTTGCTGTGCATTTTTTACACATTGTTTTTGGCGGGAAGTGAGGGGATGAGGGGTAGTTGGCGTCGTAAGGGTCTGTTAATAAGGAGGAAGGGTAACCCTAATGCCAGAGTTAAAGTCAAAGTCTCTAACACTCGACAGTTTGTTGTTTTGTATCGGCGTGCTTATGAGGCAGCCAGAATACACTAAGATGACAAACCCTAGCCGAGCGTGAATGTTACCCTTACACCTGGGTTATATGTTTTCCTTGCAAACACTTGGATAGGTACAACTCAGCTACCTGAAGAACTTAATTTCAATTCCATAAAACAAAATATGTTCTACACGCTGACGATCAACAATTAATCACCAAAATTGTTTATATTTTGTTTGGCGCTAAAGTT